TATATGTATATATATGTATATATATATGTATTATAATATATAATATATATTACATATATACACGTATGCTATTATTATAATATTAATATATATATATATATATATATGTATATGGATATATTATAATAATAATATATATGTATATATGTATATGTATATTATATATATTATATATGTATATATGTGTATGTATATATATACATATATACATATATGATATATTTATGTGTATATACATGTATATATGTACATTATAGTATATGTGTAAGTAAGTTCAATAATAATAATATATGTTATTAATTTTACAATATAATATATGTATTTTATATATTGGTGAGCATTGAGACTAGCTAATCCTCCCTTTCCACATGGGATTAGTAGTCCCCTCCTAAGGAGGTGTTTTTGGTGGGCCTGTTATTAGCAATTTCATCTAAGACTAGGATTAGATAAAACAAATATGGTACTAAATTTAGTTCAAGCCAGTTTAAGCCAATCATGTGTACCAAACGAGCCCAAACTCCAGAAATTGTTACGGTCATCCTTCAATTAAATATTGCGTTACACCACTCATCCTTTCCGTCAATTCTGTCAGTTTTTTCGTCAAAATTGATCTCATGTGATGCACATGATATCTTTATGAGAGGCAAAAAAGACTTTTACCCAGCTATTATCCTACATGATATCTTTATGAGAGGCAAAAAAGACTTTTACCCAGCTATTATCCTCACCACTTCTCAGCCCAACCGCACGCCACTCTCTCCCCCAAAAACCACCCCTCCCTTTACCTCACCAACCCAGCCTCTTAATTTGAGAACTAAACACTAATGGTCAAATAGAACGCAGCCAAACAACAATTCAGGATGCAAAACAGTAAATTGGGAAATTCATCTATATCTATAAAGCAAAAGGCAGAGAATGGTGAAACATTCAAAATACCAGAAAATGCCCTTGGTTAATGCAAACATTAAAAATTGAAATTATTAATTAAATGAGGATAATATGGTAAATTCAAACTTTTTCATATTAAAAAAAATTTAAATTAAAAGAAAAATCAGATAATGGATCCTATTTTTATGGAACACAACTACCCATTATCTTTTTTAATTCTAAAATAAATTTTGAATTTTTTTAAAAAAGCCTCTCGCAAGTGCGGAAGCACGTGCAGAGAGGCTAGTATCAAATATTTATTAGATAAATAAACTAATTAAAAAATAAACCCCAGCCCCGTATACCCATCCCCACTTACCGTCCCTCAAGTTTATCACTGCACGCACCCCACCTCAAATCAACAGCTTCCACAGCGGTTCTAGAGACCCGGATACGCCTTTCCACAGCCATTGTATAATTTTAAGTGATATGAGAACACGTCTTCTTCAAATATAGTTCATATTACTAGTTATTAGATATTTGACTCAATCAGTATATTTGCCATTTGCAACATGGATGAAATTGCAATCAACAAAATTATACAGGTGCGGTGATTAAATTCTTAGGTGCATATAGAATTTCCCAATATAGATTCAATCGAATTGGATACAATGAACGCAAGGGACTTGTAACTTAAGTGATTAAGAGCATTTACTCATGCACCCAAGGTCCTAAGTAGGACCGGTCTAATGATTTTGGATGTCCTAGGCAGGGCCGGTCCATTGATTTTGGAGGCCTTAGTAGAAATAAAAATTGAAGTCTTTTATGTTCAACACTTGCCTTATTTTGAACAAAACATAAAATAAAAAGTTTCAAGCTTAGGTGCTAAGTTTGTAGGTTATGTCAAAGAGACCCAATATATGAAAGTAAAGAAATAAAGCCGAAAAAGTATGAGTTACACACATAAAAGGCCTTTTTGCTACTATAACTCTTGGGCTAAAAGGTTTTGTAGGAGGCCCCACTTTTTCGAGGCCTTGTGCTGTCGTCCAGCCCGCATACCTTATGGGCTGGGCCTGGTCCTAAGTCCGATTTTCCCTCACTATCACTTGTGAAAAAATAAAATGAATTCGATTAATTTATGCGAAGGGCTAGTCTTGCTTGGGGACCAAGTTGTGTAGTTTACGGTAATAGAATTTGTTGGCTGGAGACGGCTAGTCTTGCTTGGGGGTTACGGAAAAAAAAACTTGTCCGGGAAAGAATCACTGCTTTGCATACAAATTTTCTCCTTTTCGGATAAAACATTCCTTTTTGAATTTTGGTGAGATTGGTTTTCCTATTTTCACGTGAAAAACAAAACGGTTTCATAAAAAGGCAGGTTCCAAACAAGTCCCTTTATATATTGAGTTTCTCAACCAACAATCAAACCCTTGGGCACTCTTTTCTCTCTCTGATCAATTAAAATAACACAAACAAGCTCTGCCTTACAATCTGCTACCAAAGCTTGGA